TGACCTCAAGTGATCCGCCTGTCTCCCCTTCCCAAAGTGCGGGGATTACAGGCATGAGCCACTGTGCCTGGGCACTCCTACACTTCCCTTGCCCATGCCCAATTTGAAAGAACCGAATGCTGGTTAGTCCATAGTACCCTGGACCCTGTAGAGAAAGCTCTGTGCAGAGCAACCTGGGTAAGTTGTAGATCCAGATATCGTCATAGGGGTCTCTCTCCACATATCCCAGGATTCAGAAGTTCTTGTAAGTGCTTCTTCAGTGGCAAGCAAATAAGCAAGAGCGTGGACCCTGTACCATTTATGATGCAACTTTGCAGACATCCATTATATCCACAACTAAATCCAAAAATATTCAGGAGTTGCTGCTTTTAGATACCAATTATTTTCTCTTGACATTAAAGTGCTAACAAATCTATGACTGTTATGATCAAGTTAAAACAATTCCCACTGAAGAGGGACAGATTTTACTCCGAGCCTTACATGTTTCTTTAAGTTTAGAAGGTGAATGAGCAGTGGCTGGGGAGGATGGCCTTGAAGGTGGAGCTCACAGGCTTCCTCCCTGCAGGTCCATTCCTTAGATTGGAGGCGCCCTTGATATGAATCCCTCCCTACACACTAGAGGTTTACTTGCAATTTAAGACTTCACATTTTATATTAATATGAACAGGGAAAATATATTTTGTAAAACTGCATGTAAATCTCGTAAAGGATTCACATGTAGGGTCATTATATTATTCTCTATTTTTAGGTATGTTTGAAACTCTTCATTATTAAAAAAAATTTTTTTTTGGCCGCGTGCAGTAGCTCATGTAATCCCAGCACTCTGGGAGGCCAAGGCAGGTGGATCATGTGAGGTCATGAGTTTGAGACCTGCCTTGCCAACATGGCAAAACCCCGTCTCTACTAAAAATACAAAAATTAGCTGGGCATGGTGGCACATGCCTGTAATCTCAGCTACCTGGGAGGCTGAGGCAGAATGACTAAAATTAAGGAGGTGGAGGTTGCAGTGACTCAAGATCGTGCTCCTGCACTCTACCTAGCCTGGGGGAAAGAGCGAGACGCCATCTCAAAAAAAAAAAAATAATTTTTTAAATCTAATGAAGCGGGGAAGAAAAGTCCTGAGAGGCATGCTGAATCGTAGCATACTCTTGCAGGTGTGAAGTACAGAGGACATAGCCAACTTTCAAGACCAAGGGCCTCGTTTTCCATGCTACCTTCCTGTCACCTCTCCCAGATCCTGGGAAAATGTGACCAATATTTCACAGTAGGAAGTAGAAACGGTGCCCAGTTTTTTGAAGGCTTGATTCAGTTTGGCATTTTGGAGATGCCATCTTAAGGACAGTGTGAGGTTTTTCTGTAATCTGTGCATTTTGGTCATCTGTCCCACGCTCATGTTGTGGATAAGCAGTGGCGGCATTTTCCAGATTTAAGCTGACACACACTAAAGCCAACCTGTATAAAAAAATACATCAGGGAAAACTATGGAGCATCTGAAATACGATGTATAGTCTATGTAGAGACTGTGTTACAATACCAGATAACTTTCCAGTTTCATCCCGATTTCATCAGTCAACAATTTAGCCATGCAAAATGACATTTTTATTCTATTTTCTAAATTATTTATTATTATTTTTTTTGGAGACAGAGTCTCACTCTACCCCCAAGGCTGGTGCAGTCTTGGCTCACTGCAACCTCCACCTCCCAGGTTCAAGCGATTCTCCTGCCTCAGCCTCCAAAGTAGTTGGGATTACAGGCACCCACTACCACGCCCGGCTAATTTTTGTATTTTTAGTAGAGACGTGGTTTCGTCGTGTTGGCCAGGCTGGTCTCGAACTCCTGACCTCAGATAATCCTCCCGCCTCAGCTTCCCAAAGAGCTGGGATTACAGGCATGAGCCACCGCGCCAGGCACAAAATGACGTTTTTAGATGGATATATAGTAGTCTATGAAATTTCAAAATATTTTAAGAAATCTTTGTTGTAATAATAACTTCAGATTACCAGAACAACGCTAGTATCTTGGTGAGTGCTGCCAATTTCATTGCAGCTTCTCAGCAGGAGCCCCGTCTGCTGATGCAATTTATGGTCATGGAAGTGGTGCCCAACTTCTGAATGCATGAGAAAGGTTAGACCTCACCTGTTGTTTTAAGGTAAGGTCTACTACTAACTAGTAGGAGGTGTCTAATTTATTAGACTGAAATTCACTTGTAAAAATATTCTTAAAAATAGCCTTTATATTAAAAAAAAAAAAAACAAACTGTCAATGTCTATATCTTTTCCTGTGCATTCAACTCAAAGAAGATAGGGCCTAGTAAATTTACCTGAAAAATATTTAAGTATTCTAATGTAAAAACTGAATCTCACTGAGGGATTCAGGTGGCTTAAAAGTCACCTGAACCTCTATTTTCTCATTTACTGAAGTGGTTTATTGGGGTTTTTGGTTTTTTCTTTTTCTTTTTTTTTTTTTTGAGACAGAGTCTCTGTCACCCAGGCTGGAGTGCAGTGCAGTGGTGTAATCTCGGCTCACTTCAACCTTCGCCTCCCAGCTCAAGTGATTCTCCTGCATCAGCCTCTCAAGTAGCTGGGAGTACAGATGCACACCACTAATGCCCAGCTAATCTTTGTATTTTAAGTAGAGATGGAGTTTCGCCATGTTGTCTAGGCTGGTCTCGAACTCCTGACCTCAAGTGATCCGCCCGCCTCAGCCTTCCAGAGTGCTGGGATTACAGGCAGGAGCCTGTAACTGTGCGTAGACTATGGAAGTGGTTTTTATATGCTAATTTGTCCTTACCCTCCACTGCTTTTGTTTTAATACTTCCCCCTTGGAAGAATCTGCTGTGACCTAGACATATTAAGAAGTTGTAACTGAAATATTAAAAAAGAATGAGGCCAGGCATGGTGGCTCACACCTGTGATCCCAGCACTTCAGGAAGCCGAGGTGGATGGATCACCTGACTTCAGGAATTCAAGACCAGCCTCGTCAACATGGTGAAACCCTGTCTCTACTAAAAATATAAACATTAGCTGGGTGTGGTGGTGTGCGCCTGTAATGCAAGCTACTCGGGAGGCTAAGGCAGGAGAATGGTTTGAACCCGGGAGGCAGAGGTTGCATTGAGTTGAGATCACGCCATTGCACTCCAGCCTGGGCAATAAGAGCGAAACTCTATCTCAAAAAAAAAAAAAAAGTATGAGTAGCACTGTAGACACGATTTCCAGGCTGAGAGCAGTTGGAAGGGTCTAGGGTTTAGTTCCAAGGCTGCTGATAAGAGGAGCCAGCATGACATCATATTGTAAAATTATATGTAAAGCAAGATCGAAAGCTTTTCTCATGCTGATTTAGTGTCTTTCGTTAAATTCCAGCACTTTTATGTAGTTATACTTCATTTTTCATTGCTTTCTGCCGGGTCTGAGGAATTGGAATGAGCATTACCTTGTGCAGATGTTCACATTCGATTTTTAAATAAAAAGTCATATTTCAGAATCCCTCTCCCTTCTTTCCCCTGTAAGATGTAACCTGATGATATTTGAAAATAAGCATTTGGAGTAAGTGCAACATTTGGTTAGTGCGTGTTTAAATCAGGCATATGTTTTAGGTTCCAAATGGTTATTTCCCCAGTTTGATTTTCTTGAAATTTAGTTTTTAAAAATTCCCATAGATGGCCAGGCGCGGTGGCTCACACCTGTAATCCCAGCACTTTGGGAGGCCGAAGCAGGCAGATCACAAGGTCAGGAGATCAAGACCATCCTGGCTAACACAGTGAAACCCTGCCCCTATTAAAAATACAAAAAATTAGCCAGGCGTGGTGGCAGGCATCTGTAGTCCCAGCTACTCGGGAGGCGGAGGCAGGAGAATGGCGTGAACCTGGGAGGCGGAGCTTGCAGTGAGCCAAGATCATGCCACTGCACTCCAGCCTGGGCGCCTGGGTGACAGAGCAAGACTCTGTCTCAAAAAATAAATAAATACATAAATAAATAATAATAATAAAAATTCCCGTAGATGATGGTGGTAATAATGATTAAAATAAAATGGTGGACATTCCCTCTGAACCGTAAAATTCCTATCTGCATACTATCTTCTTGAGCCTACTTATCCTATAGTTTGTGTTAAATTTGGGAAATAAAAGTTTAAATTTCTAATGAGAAGGTTAAATGTGAGTTGGAAGAAAGTTTTACAAACATCTTCTGTTGGTTACTGAGATTGTCATACTAAATGTTTAATTTAAGACATTACTACGCAGGCCGCGGTAATCCGTGGCCTGTAATTACTAGGCCTGTAATCCGCACTTTGGGAGGCCAAGGCGGGCGGATCACTTGAGGCCAGGAGTGCGAGACCAGCCTGGCCAACGTGGTGAAACCCCATCTCTACTAAAAATATAAAATTTAGCTGTGTGGGGTGGTGTGTACCTATAGTCCCAGCTACTCGTGGAGGCTGAGGTGGCAGAATCACTTGAACCTGGGAGGCGAAGGTTGTGGTGAGCCAGGATGGCACCACTGCGCTCCAGCCTCAGCAACAGAGCGAGACCCTGTCTCAAAAAAAAAAAAAAAAAAAAAAAAAAAAAAGACAGTATTAAAAGCTTTGAACATTGAGACAGTTGAGTCTTTAAAATACTTTTTAAAAATGCTTCTCGCCTCTCCTCCCTATCCACCCCAAAATTTAATTGTAAACTTACAAACTTAAATATCTGACCAAGAACACTGTCATACAGATGATTCTTCAGCCCAATAAGATCAGCCAGACTTCTGATCGTTTACTGTATTTTTGGTTAATTGTACAATTTCTACTTCTTTAATGTGGAATTCATAAAATGTAGTTGTGGCAGGGTTTCTCATACGTTTGTAAATGTATAGAAATGGCTCTATCGTGAAGCCAGAGTTTTTATACTGTTTCTCTTAGAGAAATAACATTCTTTGTCCTAGATCCGATGTCCAGTTTTCACAAGCTGATTGCTGAGAAGGTTCTAGGCGGCGTCTGTTAAAAAAGCATTGCTTTCTGTTAATTAGACATGTGCAAGCCAGCCAGCGCACCATAGCCTTAATTGCAGAAATGATCCACACTGCTAGTCTGGTTCACGATGACGTTATTGACGATGCAAGTTCTCGAAGAGGAAAACACACAGTTAATAAGATCTGGGGTGAAAAGAAGGTATGGTTTTTTTGTTTTTTTTTTAAATCTCTCTTACTGAATCACACGCTTTTTGGACCGCATTTGTTTCTCAGATTTGTCTCATTAAAAATATGTTTGCTCAAATGTAATGTGGTCTTCTGAATTTCAAAGAAGTATTCATGTCTTATCTATATAAAGATATTTGATAAATAAATAATAAAAAAATACCATGGAAAAATAAACTTAGTATTTCTAATAGAATTCCTTTGGTTATGAGGAAAGGGATTTTCATGGGTATCCAAAAAGTGTATTCATGAGGAATCAAACATTTTACTTTTGGGCTTAGATTACCCAGATTCAGTTTAATTTTTTAAACATTTGTTTGAGTGCTGCATATAAATGTCAAAGCAAACAAAACTAAAAAAAAAAAGGAAAAAGAAACCTCAGAGATACTGTTCTACCATGAAAATTCTATCTTTTGAAATAGAAGTTCTGTAATTGGATTTAGTTCGTATATGTATATATTAAAGCATATTTCTGTATTATTAGCATTGGGAATATGAGAAACAGGGACTTTGGTTTAAGAATGCATAGATTCTGGGTTAAAGGATGAGAATAAAGTTGAACTGATGAGAATGAAAATGCACAGGCATCCATCACCATCACCACACACGTGCCTCCACTGAAGAGCAAACAAAAAGTTTGTGCAGGCCAGGCACAGTGGCTCACGCCTGTAATCCCAGCACTTTGGGAGGCTGAGGCGGGCGGATCACCTGAGGTCAGGAGTTTAAGACCAGCCTGGCCAACAGGGCGAAACTCGTCACTACTTAAAAAACAAAAAAAATTAGCCAGCGTACACCTGTAACCCCAGCTACTCAGGAGGCTTAGGCAGGAGAATCACTTGAACCTGGGAGAAGGAGGTTGCAGTGAGCCGAGATTGTACCACTGCTCTCCAGCCTGGGCAACAGAGTGAGACTCCATTTCAACAAAAAAGAAGGTTTGTGCAACTAGAACTACCCCACCTTCACCTCCTTTTCTTTCACAGATTTATAGTATTCCTGGTTAATTCCTATTCTCCGTATTAAAAGAAGATATATACACACACATACACACACACACATGTTTATTATTCACATGCTGATGTTATTTGAACATAAATGACTTTGTTTTGAAATGGAGTCCTGCAATTTCATTTATATGCCTTTTATTTCAAATTTTAGATGGAAAGGCTTTACATCCTGTTGACTAAATTCTATACATCAGAATGTTGGCCAAAAAAGCAGATGGCGTTTTGATTTGGAGAGGACGTGGGTAACTCTGTGACCCGTCCCTGCAATCAGCTGTGTCTGTTTTCAGGCAGGGGCAGTCCGAAAGCCTTATTTGGAGCCTTGGGTGGGGGAAGAGGATCAAGAGAACAAATGATGGTCTCCGCCTTGGCTAGCCCCTGTGTGTCTGCCTCGGCCATGAGGGGCCTCTTTCTGAGGGCAGGCCAGGGACACGTGCTGCTCTCACCTGCCTCTTTCAGTTCTGACGGCCATCTGTTGAGCACAGGGCTACTTGCCAGTTCCTACCTGTTTCTGCCTCTGACCCACAAATGCTACGTTACCGGTACAAAAACCCACACACACTGTGCCCTCTCGGTGAGCCCTTGTTAGGCCTGGCCTGGGCTTCCTATCTCTTCTTTCCTTTAACTCCCAGCCCTGGCTGTCCACAGTCCTGTGGCTTCCATGTCATATGCTGGACCTTTTGGTCTCTAGGATCCCCCCAGCCAGGAGAAGAAAAAAGTAAAAGCCAATGGATCCTGAGCCCTGAGCTGCTAATGATGTAGGGGCTGTGTGGGAGAATATAAGTGGGTACCTATATGTCATAATTTGTAAAATGACTTTATAAGCATATACTTACATCAGGATATCTTACATAATGTGTATATTTCATAAAGTGGTGATTAATTGGTAAACACACTGAACATCACTATTTTAGATACCAAAGAACTAAGATAATAAGTACCTAAAATAGTTGTGTTGAAAATTCTGTGAACTCTAGCCTTTATGACTAATTACTACAGAATATAACACTTACAGCCAGGCGTGGTGGCTCATGCCTGGAATCCTAGCACTTTGGGAATCCTAGCACTTTGGGAGGCCGAGGCAGTTGGATTGCTTGAGGCCAGGAGTTTGAGACCAGCCTGGCCAACATGGTGAAACCCCATCTCTAGTCGAAATACAAAAATTACCCGGGCGTGGTGGTGTACGCCTATAGTCCCAGCTACTCATGAGGCTGAGGTGGAAGGATCGCTTAAACCCAGGAGGCAGAGTCTGCAGTGAGCTGAGATCGTGCCACTGTACTTCAGCCTGGGCAGCAGAGCAAGACTCTTTCTCAAAAAAAAAAAGTTGAATATAATGTATATATCTTTAATATATACGTATTAATGCAAATTAATATACATAGAGCATATTTGATTATAGCATATAATTCAACTATTTATGCAGTAATTTATAACTAGTTGCTAATACACTGTAGACATCCATCACAGTCTAAAGAAGACTGGAAAGATGTTGATTGCTTAGTGTTCAATGGGAAAAAATTTTCTTTTGTCTGGGAATGAGGGGCAGTGTCACATAGTACAAAAAGCATTTCACTTGGAGCCAAAATTCTTTGGTTTAATTTTCATTGAAAATAACATGTTTCGTGCCATGCTCTGGGGTGTGCTCAGTACCTGCTGAGATGATTCCTAATCCGAGCTGCCGCTCCACCCCACCCTCCCCGTTGACCTGGGAGCATAGAGACTAGAGCATCACTGACTGGTATGCAAGATGTGATGGTCGCAGCATTCACGGGTGTTGTATTCACACAAAAGGGAGGCATCTGGCCAGACTTAGGGATCGCGGGTGACTTCTTAGAAGTGGCAACTGAACTAATTATGCAAATAAGTCCACTCAGTGAAGAAAGGGGCAGAACTTTTTGAGCAGAAGGAACAGTAAGTGGAAAGGCATAAGGGAAGAGTGAACATCCAGTGTAGTGAAACTGAAGGCAGCTGCATTTTGGTGGGGCTGGTGGGTGAAACTGCTCTCCCTCTCCAGGCATTGATTTCTTCAACTGTCAACTGGGGAGATGGACATGGTCATCTCTGAGAGCCAGTCCAGTTCAAGCACTGTCCCAAATCTATAACCGATTGTTACGAACTGGGAAGCGTGACATGGTCATCTCTGAGAGCCAATCCAGTTCAAACACTGTCCAAATCTGTAACTGATTGTTAACAGACTCCTGTTGAGGAAGAGGAAGGTAAAAACACCTGCATCCAAGATGAGCCCCCACTTCCACGAAGCTCCCCTCCAGTCAGGTTCATCGTTGGCTCTACTGCTGTGATAAATTTTTCTGAACGTTTTGTTTTCCCCCTGTCTTTTTCTAGGCTGTTCTTGCTGGAGATTTAATTCTTTCTGCAGCATCTATAGCTCTGGCACGAATTGGAAATACAACTGTTATATCTATTTTAACCCAAGTTATTGAAGATTTGGTGCGTGGTACGTTGATTCTGATTTTTCTTCTTTGTTATTCAGTCCTGGTGTGTAGCTAGGCAATAAAACCACCTCTCAAATGACTCTTTTCCTTCTTTATAGGTGAATTTCTTCAGCTTGGGTCAAAGGAAAATGAGAATGAAAGATTTGCACACTACCTTGAGAAGACCTTCAAGAAGACTGCCAGCCTGATAGCCAACAGTTGTAAAGCAGTATGTACGTTCCGTCTTTCTTCAAGTTAAAGCCTCATAGCTCTTTTTTGGGAGCTAATTCTCCTAGAAAATATTTCAGTGAAGAATCTTAAAATAGTATCCAAAAGTCCCAAGAGGTTAAGGAGGAAAAGAATGACATCCCCAAACAGTAGAGGACTTCTGCTGCGTTTTCATTTTTGCTATCTTCTTTTGGTATGCAGGTGTTAACTTTTCGTCTTTTCTTCCCAGAATTGAATCAAAATAAGCTTTCCTGCACCTTCCCCAATCTGATTGCCAAACTGAGTATCATTTTGAACAATTTACCATAATTTCTCTAATGATTGATGTCACACACACTCTTTCTGACACTTTACCTTTTAAAAATGAAGTGCTCTGTTCTTTAATATACTATTTACCCAGGAAAATATATCTATTAGATTGTACTAGCATTCTATATACTTTTTTTTTTTTTTTTTTTGGAGACAGAGTCTTGCTCTGTGGCCCAGGCTACAAAGCAGTGGTGTGATCTTGGCTCACTGCAACTTCCACCTCCCAGGTTCAGGCAATTGTCCTGCCTCAGCTTCCCTAGTAGCTGGGATCACAGGTGTGCACCATCACGCCTGGCTAATTTTTGTATTTTTCCTAGGGTTGGGATTTTGCCATGTTGGCCGGGCTGGTCTCAAACTCCTGGCCTCAAGTGATCCACCTACCTTGGCCCCGCAGAGTGCTGGGATTATAGGCATGAGCCATCGCGCCTGGCCAATCCTTCTAATATTTTACATGAAATATAAACAAGTCCTATTTCTTCAGAGTACAAAGTGAGTATAAGCCATAACTGTTTCTCCCCTTGCTTTCTCCCTGGCCTTCCCTCCACTGTGCATACACTTGTATACATTTTTTTTTTAATGAGTTATTTAATCTGTAGACAGATATGTGGTATTCATTGTTAGTCCAAGAATGAGAAACAGTCTCTCCGTAGAATTGTTTCTCTGCCCATCTCTAAGCCTGACAGATACACAGAGACAAAACCTGGACAAATGACCTTCCTGTGTGATTACAGCCACAAAATAAGGAAGACCTGTAAGGGTCACATGTCAGTTGCTGCCATGATAGACTCCTAAGATAATTAACAGGTGAAGAGAGCTTTTGCTCAGACCTCTCAGGTGAAAAAGTCTCTTGCTGTTAGTGTCTCTGTTTTGAAAAGTGTCAAGAAATGTATAATTGCAAGCCAGAAACAAATGAGGACAATCTTTTCTTCCTAAAAAGACTTAATGGAAACTTTAAGGAATGTGAATTATGTAGAACATGCCAGCCACAGTCTCGACCACTTTTGTCTTTTTATTAAAAGGGCTATTATGTTTTTATTTCCAAGAAATTATGTGGGTCTTTTTTTTTTTAAGTGAGATGGAAGAAAGTATAGACACAAGATACTAAATAAGAGAATAGCCTATTTTAAATGGGTGTTCTAACACTTTTACAGTAATCCTTTATATATTATCGTGCCCTTGATGGCCCAAATCTCCCTGAAGGTCAGGATCCATCCTCTTAACACATTAGGATGCCTTAATATTACTTATTAATATTTATCCTTAAGAGGATGTGTTAAGTGAGGCCCATTGATAATTTCACAAGTTTGAGACTGCAAACTTAGAAGCATTAGCATGGCCAGGCGAGGTGGCTCACACCTGTAATCCCAGCATTTAGGGAGACTGAGGTGGAAGGTTTGCTTGAGACCAGAAGTTCAAGACCAACCTAGGCAACATAGCAAGATCCCCTCTCTACTTAAAAATAATATTTAAAAAATAAAATCTTAGAAGCATTAGTAGTAGTGAGACTGTTGGAATTGGAAACACCAAGACTTACTGTGTGCACCACGCGGACATCCCACAGGCACAGGGGGCGGCACCAAATTGGAGCTAGCACAGAAATTCACTCAGTGATGGAATCTTACAAATGGTCCAAAGAAATGGACCTGAGTCGTGATAGAGAGGTTTCCTCATGCTCACCGTTCTCTGCTTAAGAAGCCAAAGATAATGCACAGGAATTCTTTTATAAAGATATGCAATTCATTCTTCAAAGATTAGCAACTGAACAGTGAACATGTTAACGTGGCTGGACCCTTATTAAAAATGAAATGCTTCCTGCTGCCCACTAGGGGGCATGCTGGCATCGTCCCAGCACTACCTCCTTTTCATGTGATTTATTCCTAAACTCCAGAGCTCTTAGAATAATAAAGCAAAATCATAGTGTGAGCTATTTGAATCAAAGTTTCTATATTTAAGTGCCTATGGGTGGAAATATTCCAGAGGTGTTATGGATTCAAAATGGCTATTTTTATGTACTCTTGGTATTTAAAATGCAAAGCCATGCGAGCTCCAAAGAAATGCATGCAAAGCAAATTAGACACACCAAAAAGAGGGGAGGAGGAGAACTGAAAGAGCAGAATTATTACAGAAGAAGAACTAACAGGATTGCAAAATGTATTGAGAATTGGAGGGAAACTTACCAGCTGCATTCTACTAAGGATGCCATTTCTTCGTCTCCCCTCCTTTTTTTAGTGAAAATAATATTAACATCTAAGAGAGGACTGTCTATGGGGATTGTTTTGTGATTGACTGATATTAAAATAGAATCCATTTTAGGCTAGGCACGGTGGCTCACACCTATAATCCCAACACTTAAGGAGGCCAGGGCGAGTGGATCACTTTAGTCCAGGATTTTGAGACCAGCCCGGCCAACATGGCAAAACCCCATCTCTACTAAAAATACAAAAATTAGCTGGGCGTGGTGGTGCACACCTGTAATCCCAGCTACTTGGGAAGCTGAGGCAGGAAAACCGCTTGAACCCGGGAGGTGGAGGTTGCAGTGAGCCAAAATCACTCCACTGCATTCCAGCCTGGGCAACAGAGCGATACTCTCTCTCAAAAAAAAAAAAAACAGAATTCATGTTATTATCAAAAGATGACTTATTTATTTACATACATACTCATGCAAAATACATTTTGTAGCTTAGTGATGAGGACTGTGGCTTGTTCGCCAGAAAGTCTGGTGGGAATGAGACCTGAGAGGTCAGGGGGTCTGTCCAGTTGTGCAGCCAGACAGCAGCTGAGCCGGGACTTGAACCCAGAGCTGAGTATGGTAATCCTGCCTTTTCTGTCTCTCTCTCTTTTTTTTTTTTTCCTGAATTTCTGTTCTCTCCAGGGCTGCTTGTGGCCTGGAATTAATGGGCTGTCTTCCTATTACTTGATTTTCAAAGCCTTCAGTACCGCTACAGAATTGCATATTGTGGGTAACGTTAGCAGAACACTCTTTTTTATTTAATTCATTTTTTTGAGACAGAGTCTTGCTCTGTTGACCAGGCTGGAGCGCAGTGGCACAGTCTCACCTCACTGCAACCTCCACCTCCCAGGTTCAAGTGATTCTCCCACCTCAGCCTCCCGGGTAACTGGGATTACAGGCGCCCACCACCACATGCCACACCCAGCCTCTTTTTTTACAATATTCGTATCTATCTATAGGCCTCATTCAGATCTTGCCACTTGTGAACTGTTATAAACAAAAGGGAAAACGTACTTTTCTGTTCCAGCATCCAGTCCGGGATCTCACGTTGCATTTAGGGGTCATGACTCTAGTCTCTTGTCATCTACAACAGTATTTCTGTGCCTCTCATTTACCTTGGTATTTGGAAGAGTGCAGGCCAGTTATGTTGTTGAGCCTCTCAGTGGGGCTTCTCTGATATTTCTCAAGATTCGATCCAGATTATGAATGTTTGGCAAGAATACCACAAGAGCGGTGCCGTCCTCAGCTCCTCACACCAGGAGGCACGTGCTGTCTCTCTGTCCTGCTACCCATGATGTGTGCCTGGATCACTTGATTAGGATACTGTCGGGCCAGGCGCCCTGGCTCATGCCTGTAATCCCAGCACTTTGGGAGGCCGAGGTGGGCGGATCACTTGAGGTCAAGAGTTCAAGACCAGCCTGGCCAACATGGTAAAACCCTGTCACTACTAAAAATATGAGAAATTAGCTGGGCATGGTGGCGGGCACCTGTAATCCCAGCACTTTGGGAGGCCGAGGCGGATGGATCACCTGAGGTCAAGAGTTCGAGACAAGCCTGGCCAACATGGGTGAAACCCCTTCTCTACTAAAAATACAAAAATTAGCCAGGCGTGGTGGCACATGCCTGTAGTCCCAGCTACTCAGGAGGGTGATGCAGGAGAATTGCTTGAACCCGGGAGGCGGAGGTTGCAGTGAGTTGAGATTGCACCATTGCACTCCGGCCTGGTCAACAAGAGTGAAACTCCATCTCAAAAAAAGAAAAAAAAAAGGATACCATCTGCCAGGTTTCTTCAATCTAAAATTACTATTTTAACCTATTTTGGGTGAAGTATTTTCAGATTATGTAAAGATTATTCTGATGGTTGTCAAATGGCTGTTTTTCTATTTTCATCATTTCTTCTATATCACTCTTCTACAAGACAGTTGGTATTCTATTATTATTATTATTATTATTTCATTCTCAGAAGAGGTGAAGAGTTGGTATTCCATTGTAAAGAAGCTCTTAACTGTATGGGCTCTTGGATTCTTATTTTATTCTGTATCTTTTTTTTTTTTTTTTTTGAGATAGGGTATCACTCTGTTGCCCATGCTGGAGTAGTGCAGTGGCGCAATCTCGGTTCACTGCAACCTCCGCCTCCCGGGCTCAGATGATCCTCCACCTCAGCCCCCTGAGTAGCTGGGATTACATGCGCCCACCACCATACCCAGCTGACTTTCTGTATTTTTAGTAGAGACGGGGTTTTGCCATGTTGCCCAGGCTGGTCTCAAACCCCTGGCCTCAAGTGATCGCCACCTTGGCCTCCCAAAGTGCTGAGATTACAGGCGTGAGTCACTACGCCCAGCCATCTTATTTTATTCTGTAGATTATAACACTGTCATTATTTATTTTAATACTCAATTATCCAACGTATGGCCCATGGGGGAGGCCCTTTAATCTGGTTCTGTGTCCTCCTATCGTTTTTTCAGC